CAAGACTTGTCAAAATTCATGATTTATTTGTGAAGTTGTTTTCTATTTGTCCTTGTCCACCAAATTGTCTATCCTATTCACTGTTTTAACTCTAGCATTTGGCACAGGGCCTGGCACATGGCAAGTGCTATATAAATATTTGTTGAATAGAAGAACGAATAAATGAATAAGCAAATAAAGTGAGGCCATCAATAAGGAACAGATGGTTTCAAATAGGACCGACTCAGTACTCAATACTCCACATACGCCCAATTCAGTGCACCGAGCGCCCCCTGCACCGGTAGCAGGGGAAGGAAACCGGATGCTGCCATTTCTCTTTCAATCCTGTTGTACTCATACATCTAATGGGATTATCTCCAAATTTGAACATTTTACTTCCAAAATGATTCATTCTTAAAGTAGCAAGAATAATACAAAGAATTCCCATATACTTTCCACGTCAACCTCCTCAAATGCTAACGTTTACCATTTTGGCTTTATTCATCTCTGTTATCTTTCCTGAACCATTTCAAATATACTGCAGACATAATGCCTTTTACCTTTAACTACTTCAGCGTGTATTTTCTTTAAAACTAAAGACAGTTTCTTCTCGTATAGAAACACAGTACAATTATCAGCAAAAAATTAATACTATTAATGTATAAAATTCAAAATTTGTTCACTGTCTCATGTATATCCTTTAACATACATACATACATACATAAGTGAATAAATAACATTTTCAGGCCCAGGATTCAATCTAGGACACGTTGCATGTACTTATCATGTCTCTGCAGTCTCTGTTTTAATCTGATACAATTCCTCAGTCTTTGTCTTTCATGACATTGACCTTTTGGAGCACATAGGCCAATTATTCTGTAGAATGTCCTTCAAATTGGGTTTGTCTGATGTTTCTTCATGATTAGCTTCAAATTATGCCTCGTGGGGGCAAGAGTCCCACCAAAGTGATGTTGTGTCCTTCTTAGAGCATCACATTATGAGGTACACGTGATCTACTTGTTCTATTATTAGTGATGTTAACTTTAATAACCCGATTAAGATTTCTATTTTTTCTTTTGTTATTATTAAGTTCTTGTGAGATGATACTTCAAGATTATGTGAATATACTAATAACCAATTTTTTTTTTCTAATTAGCCAACTCTACTCTATGGTCCAACTAATTCTCCATAAATAAGAACTTGCAAAAATGTTTCAAGTCTGTTTATGGGTCAGAAATAGCTAATCATGCAACTTTTCCTAATGTAATGGTCTATTAACATTCTACCTTCCCTCCTTCCCTCATGAACACAGAGAAACCTAGAGTGCTATTTTTTTAAGAACATAATAAAATACCTAATCTCATTCGTCATTCATCCGATGAGAAAGCCAAATCCCAGACAGGCTAAGTGACTTGCCTAAGGTCAGACAACTACTTGGTAGAAGACCTGAAAATAATTAAGCACTCACTGTAGAGCAAGAAAGGCAAAAATCAGTTTGGTGCCCTTCAAATATATAAGCCCTACAGGTACTCCTGATGCAGTCTATGGCAGATTCGCTGTGGCAGTTTTTGGAGAGTAATGGGATTTTTATACAGATCTGCAGGACAGAGCAGAACATATTCTGAGGAGTGACTGTGGTTTCTAAGGAAGCACCATAGCTCACTGCTCTGCCTGAGTATTCTGTTTTCTTCCTTTATCTCTTGTTCTTCTCTCTTGGCAACACTTATAAGCCATTCCAAAGGCAAAAGTAAACTCTCATAGCTCTGGGAAAGAGCACTGCCTACAATGGGATCCTAACCCAGAACTGGCATATGCTCCTCGCCCAATACTCCAGACTCCTGTTTAATTCTAACCAATATCTTTATGAATGTTCTTTTGCATTTGCAGGGGATGGTTCTGCCATAACTTTATGTTTTACAAATTCAAAAAATAGTTGGTAATATACCCAAGAATATTCTAACCTGGACAAATACAGAAGCAAGCAGCCCCTTCTACAATGCCCTGGGACTTTCTTTCCCAAGGTGATCATACTATTTAAGAAAACAAAGCAAACAAACAAACAAACAAAGAACAACAAACTAGAAGGTTTGAGGAGTTGGAACTCTAATCTCAACCTCTACCCAGAACACAGGGTGGACACAGACATTAGCTTGCCTGCTCTGCTTCCTCCAAAACCTTTTAGAAGTAATGGAGAGGTCAGTGTCCTATCCAATCCAGTAACCCAAGGTAATATTTCTTGGTAAAAATTATTTTTAAATAATATTTACCAGCACACCCAAGCTATGAACAGAGGTCAGGACTACAAAGCCATCCCACACAATCCTCACACAGCATTCCTTTTTCCTGCTTCTGAGAAGCACAATATGCCAAAAAAGAGAAGCAGTGTTTTCATTAAGGGTTAACTCTCAATCAGGATTTGGTATAAATTAAGGTATATTTAAAAATTCATAAAAGCAAAGATGTGAATTTCCAGGAGTTAGAATTAGTAATTCAACTCAGAAATGCAGGGAAATGTTTGCTGTGTTAGTGGTACATACCAGTGGCGGCGGTAGCAGTGGAATCGGGGTAGCTGATATTTATTGAGTGTTTACCATGGAGCTCCTCATTTTAACCCGGAGAACCACCTGAGTGTTCTTATTTTATACAATGGTATAAAGTAAATGGAACACTGGGATAGTATTCTAAATTTGATCTAAGATTATAATAGTGCCGCATGGTAATGAATGAGTAATCCTTGAGTCCAGACCATCGTGCAATTATTGCTGACTGACAGACTTATTCCCTCGTTTTCTTTCTGGTCACTTTATAAGGGAGGTCTTCCACAATCACCCTATATAAAAAGAGCAAATTCCCAGCTCACACTTGCTGAGTGTCCCATTCAAATATAAGCTCCCTAAGGGCAAGAACTTGTCTTCTCAACTGCTATAGCCCAATACCTAGAACAGTGAGTGCCCTGTCCATGTTAGGTGTTTAATGCATATCTGCTGAAGGAATGAATAAAGGAATAATTGATCAACAAAACCAAACTCTGACAAAGATTAATTTTAAATGAATGATCTGTTTTTACTTCTTGATTTTAAAAGGATTCTGTGGTAGGCTCACCAGAGTCTCTTAAAAAGATTGGGCGGGGAATATTGGACTGTATGACTCTATTTGTTGAAAAATTCCCTGTAGCTCACATTCAAGTTCAAAATCATTCTGTTGCTTATGCTTTTTGTGCTTTAAAAAAAAAAAAAAAAGCAAAAAGCCTGAAACTCCATTCCTAGTGGCTAATAAAGTTTGGGCATTAAATACTTTGTTGAATATTAGAGACAAATTTTAGATTAGGCAACTCTGCTCATCGTTGGACAACATCCTCTGAACACCCACAAGTGCCAAGCACAGAGAAAGTGCTGGGAGTAACCACGCAGTGCAATATGAGGGCTAATGACCTTCCACTAATATGGGACATCTGCTCTCCCTGATTGCCAACCTCTCCCACCTTGGCTTTCTAGAACGAAGTGAACTCAAACAAACGGGATTTTTAGTATAACTGACCTTCTTGGCAACTTTCATCATTTCCTGCTGGTAGGAAGGCAAAGTAAAGGACAGTAGAAATTTATACTTTTCATTTGGGGAAAAAGGTCATAACTTTGGTAGACTCTTAAGAAATTTGTAGGAATGAAAAAGATATTTGTAGGAAAATTGTTTTTCGAGGAAAAACTTCCATTTTTAAATGAGTGGAAATTATGGCATATGTGAGAATCTAAGATAATTGGGTAACACTGGGTTAAAAAAGAAATAACTTTTTTTTTTTTAAGTTGGCTCCATGACCAACATGGAGTACAATGCGGGACTTCAACTCACAACCCTGAGAACAAGGCTTGAGATGAGACCACATAACTGACTGAGTTACCCAGACACCCCCAGAAAGATAACTTTTAATAGGTGTTTAAAACTTCAAAATAAAGTGCATTCTGACTACATTCATTACTCAAGCTTGGTCATTTATTACTGATCCTTGTGAAGAGAACAGCTATTAAGTGATTCAAACAGAAAAAAATCTGTCAGTTGATGTGACAAAGTACTTATATATTTACTTATATATAAGTGTAAAATTTTACTGATGTTGTTAGAGCCCTGCGTGTTTCCTGTTTCTCTTTTAGTTTTTGCTTTCAGAGGAAAAAGAAAAGTTAAATTTATATTACACGGTGCAAATTCTTTTTTTCATATACCCCTAGATATTCCTGTTTTGCTTAGGCTAAGGATTCTAAAAGTAATAAAGTTGTATTCATTTCTCCTCCAAAAGAATTTTACTTAAAAAAAATGGTATTAACATAAGGGAAGGAACTCACACTTTATTCATAGCGTTTTTCATCACAATGTTCTCTTTACATGCTGTATCTACCTCCGGGAAGATTATGTGACATTAAATAGTGATGAGAAAAAAGTTTCGACTTGAACTCACACTCAAACTATCAGATGCTTTTGGATGGTGTGCTAAGCTTTTGTGATTAGCTGTGGCACAGCAATCATTCTGCAAGAAAGTGGCTGATGTCTACCTGTAAATACTGGCATCAGAGGAAACATGCTTAGCCATTTCAAAATCCTGAAACTAACCATTGAAACAGGATCATAAGCAGATTTAGGATACCAGGTGAGATGGGCTAGCTGCACACCAGGCTTGCTTAGATACCATTAACTCAAACAGCACTATGACCACAAACACATATGAGTTAAAAGGAGTTGGGCTAATATACAAATCACTCAAAAGTACAAAACTTACATATTGACATATCCTTTACACTTCTGATGATTTTCTAAACACAAACATGACTTTTGATGTAGCACAGAGAACTATGGTCTAGACATGTTCATAAACCTGTGGGTTCATCTGATTTTGCTTAGATCCACAAAAAAAGTCCTGGCTAAACAGATCACTGTATTAACTCCAAAATTTAGAATGAAGATGTTTAATGTTCTTGTGCCTCTAATCCGATCCTTAAGGGACAGCAAATTGTGTTCTGAATTGCAGTACTCACAGCTGTTGCCTGCTCTATTACCCCTCTGTCCAGCTGAATGTTCGGGCTCCTTGTATGGAAACTGTAAGGTCGTATCCAAGGTTCTGAAACCTTCTTTAAGAGAATGATGCTTGTAGTACTCCACAAGTTCCTTCAGGATAAAAGAATTAAAGATTATTTTTGATAAGGATACTTTTATTCTCAAACACATGAACTCCTTGAACACATAATTATGTACAAGAGGAGGATGACTGATTTAATGCCAGATTTTCCATAAGTGTATGGGAGGGTAAGTAAACAATCATCTTTCCCTGCTTTCTGGATGTACGTGGCACGTAACTAACTAGTAATCATCCTTGTTACTCAGGCTGGCCATCACTGGTAATGGGAGTTACCTCCTACTGTTATTCATGGATAGAGAGCATCCTGTTAGTCTTCAGTCAGATGTGGTCAATGAAAAGAAACCATACTAAACTTTAACTGCAGAACAGTAATTATTGTTCTTATTTATGAAATACTTGCTTTTCTAAACAAAAATAAAGGGAGCAGCTGTTTGCTGAATATATAGCAATTTCTCATTTCCTGCATTTTCTTTCAACATAGCAGAAAAACAAACTTGATTCTCAATGTTCTTTTCCACAGTAAACCAAAACTGATAAACCACAAATGCCCCCTGATGTTATTTCTGGATTACAGTGAAGTGTTAGTGCCCTTCCATAGCTCTACACAGCATCGGCTACATAGAGATCAACAATGTAGTACTTTGCATTTTCCCTTACACCTAATTTGCCTTAAATATACCCAAGCCTAGTTGAATAACCATTCACCATCTTCCATACTAAAATTTCAGAAATTTCTCTTAAGATGTCGGTTTCGTAGATTCTGCACAAATCTGAATCCTTCTATTTTAAGTAGAAAAATGAATAATAATTCATAATGGAAAAATGCATATTATTATTAGATGAGTACTATAGGTATAATGTTTCTTAGAAATATCTAAAATAAAAAGCAGTATCACTTTTAACCTAATTATTTGGTGCTGCTATCAACATTTAAAACAAATAGGGTAAAAGTAACTTATTTCTTCTAAAAACCACACTGTCATCAACTCAGTACCTCCATTCAGTGGTTATGTTCAAAGTTTCCCAAAACAAATCAACTGAGACAAAAACCACCCAAAAGAAGTGAAAAAGAATCATCAATGATTTCTATTATTTATGATTTATGTTATTTATGGCTAACCTTGGATGAGTTATAGAATGCATTGTGTGGGGTGTTCCAGGGTCATTAAGATTATGAAGATAAAGCTACTGCCCTCTAGGACTGCTCACTCTTGAAGGAAAGTTAGGGGTTATGGGTGCTCAAAGGCAAGAAAGAGCACTTCTTTTTGTGAGCCCCATGGAGAGGATGAGGGAATGGTTCATGATAGAGGTAGCTTGGCTTAAACTGAATAACAGGCAAAACTGCAGAAGCTAGGAAGGCGGAAAGGATTGCTTTAAGTAGACCAGTCAGTCTAGAAACAGACATAAAGGTGATTGAGTAAAGGCCACATTCATAAACACAAAGGAGCTTGGTTTGGCTGAAGCACTGGGTAAAGCAAATGGAGATTCTTCAACTCCCACATCTGTAAAATGGGGAGAATGCCCCAGTGCACAGACTATAGCAAGAATGCATAGAGTGTCTGCAATGTGTGAATAATCATAACTATCACCACAATCCCATATGCCAGGACTTTTACAGGGCTTTGCACCATCTCCACACAATAAACAAGAAAGAGGCTTAATCCCCATTGATAGTCAAGTCTCAGAGAAGTTAATTGACTTGTGCAAGGTTGAACAGCTCTGTCTGTCTCCAATGTCTGTGCTCTTAACTACATCATACTATTAGCAAGTATTGCTTGGCAAATGTAAATACAAAAAAATGGAGGCAAAAGGGAAGGAGTATTTTCTAAATGTCCATGATCTACCAAGAACTTTGTTATCTTAGAACTAAGATGCTAAGGTTTTACATACTTCACATCTATAACTATCCCTATCTATCTATCTATCTATCTATCATCATTTATGTTTCTTCTATTATTTCTTTCTTGAGCCCAGATTATGGTGGTCTTTGATGAAGCAAAGGAATCTGGAACTGGACCAACTTGAAAAGAAAAAGAATCAAAATACCAGAAAGAAGCTTTTATCCTCAAAATGGCTTTAATAATAGGAATATGGCATTTGTATTATGGTGATTTTTAACATGGTTTGCAAAGTCTAGAATTAAATTCTAGAGACTAATATTATTTAATGCTTTTAAAAAATAAAAGGCAAAATTTTGTAAGGTCTCTGCAAGAACTGTACAAACACATACATCGTGTTGCTAATGCAAATGTTTACAAAAGTGTTCTTTTAGTCTTATCATTTAAACTAAGTAAAATGTGTTCTTTAACAAAAATATGAAAATAAACCTGAAAGTAACTATAAGCCAATAACTTGGAGCTTCAATGTAATTTTGTTATAAATAGTATGAATTTTATGCATTATAATATTATGGATTAGTAGGAATTAAAGTTTATGTGAAGTCGGCAAGAATCCACAGACTTACCATATTGAAAAGGAATTGGTGATCATTTCATACCTTCCCAGATCCAAATTTTATGGAAGGAAAAAATGACTTTTCCAAGGCCTAGGGTCATGCAGCTTGGTAAGCTACAAATACTCTTTTATCACTTCACTAAGCATAGAAGATATTTTAGTTCCATTTTTATAGACTTATGTGGGTAAATCTTCCTACATGTTTTCTGACTGGGTAGAATTAAATTGTGCCACCATGGGTCTTTTCCAATTTATGCCTTTATGCTTTCTGTATTTTAGTCTAATCCACCCCTGCTTTAGCAGTCATTGACCTTCAGGTACTACAAGTAAATAAGAAGACGCGAAACAAAAGAAATCGCTAAGCTTTCCTTATCTCACACTGACACAGCAGTGTCAACAATTCAAGTCTCTCTGAAAAATAATGAGTGAGAGTCAGTCATTCCAATTACCAAGGAAACAGGCAATGGAGATGATTTATAAACAGCATTTGGACATGGATTGTCTGGCATACATGAAAATTAGAACAAAATTAATGCCTTGTAATCTGGATATAGAAATTCATTTAGAATTTGAATTTAATGACTAAGAAAAACAAAGATTTTGATTAGCCAAGCTACTGAAACCCAAAGGGAAAAGCTTAGGTCATAACCACCTAAGGTCAATTGAGAAACTGGCTAATTTAGAACAAGTTCTGGAGTTTGCTTCCATTTCACATCCTTGCCAAATTAAAATTTAATTCCAGGCCCTAATAAGTTTCATAGGTAGAAGCATATAACTTTACCACCCATAATGGAAGGATACGGAACCATTCTCAAGCAACAACTCAAATGCACAGACCATTATATACTTATAATGGAAACTGTGTTATTTGACACCAACATGATGAAAGGCAATTCCTTGAAGTTGTGTGATCCTGATTTGGAGAAGCCCTTAGGCATTGCCAGAGAGAAGTCAAAGGTGCCTACTAATTCTCTCTCCCCTTCCAAACTGTCTGTTTGCTAGAACAGGAGCCATTCTTTCTGATCAAGTACCCATATGGTATTTTTGAGTTTAGGTGTAAAGGACAGCACTACTGTGAGTTCTTGCTACCGACAGATTTACAAATTTGAAAGCATCTTTAGAATAGTAGAGTCACTCTGAGTTCTGCAAAAACGTAATGATTCCACAAGGTAAGGATGCAATATAACTTGGTTCAACAAACAAACAGAAACAAAGAGGAGGGGCAGCTCCAGACTATAGTTCCTTGGTCTCTTCAGTAGTTTTTACGGTTATTTGCTAAACCTGTAAAAGTATTTATCCAAGACACAGTTTTTCAGCTGCTTAGCTTTCTTTTTACAATTATATCCTTTTGCTAGTATTTTTTAGTTTCATTGTAGTTAGGCTATTAATTCTGAATCCCCTCCCTTTAACCCACTGTGCTATGTGCTTCCCTTACATAAGACGCTTTCCTCCAGATATGGTAGGAAAACAACATGCCTGCGTCTCTAGCAGTGGCATTTATGGTATTTTACACATACCATATAAGGGGAGCCTGTTTTAGCTCCATGACAGTACTTTTAATTCCCTTTCCAGAACATCAGTGCAGAAACTTTTGCTGCTCTCTGGTACACATTATTTAAGGACGCTGGGGGTCTGCTGCTTATCCTAGAATCAAAGTTTTGTACGTAGATAGGAAAGCAAAGACCTATGTCCACTAATCCAGGTCATGAAGTATTTACCGGCTTTTCACTTCTTAACCTCAGCAGCTGATGAACTTTCTGGAGCTGAACCAAGGGACACAAAGCTGAATTGATTGGCCCTTTCTAGCGACTATTCCTTTCATCCTCTTTGCTTGTCTCCTCGGATGGGAGTTCCTTTTGTTACTTTCAAAGTCGGCAAAGCTGGCAGTCATCTTTTGGCCCTACAGCACTTTTTTTTAAAGTCTCACATTAACTGAAATACCGTGGAGCAGGCTCATTCCCATCCACGGAAGTTCTGCTGGTGAGAGCTCAAGCCGCTGTGCCTTGCAGCGATGAGGAGACCTCCTGTGCCTGCTTTTATCAGGACTCAGCTGGGGCTGCCATTCATTATTTGTGCATCCACTTGCCACCTGCCTCCTAGGTTTTCACTTCAGGAAAAACCTCCTCAGGTCCAGTTCTCTCTGTGCACAGCAAGCTTGTTCCAACAGAACATTCAGTCGCTTCCAGCAGGAAGGCCGCCTGGATCCTGGTTACTCGTTTGGCAGGACTCACATTTTCCAGGATATGATCTTGCTGCCCATCCTTAACTTTTGAATTGAAAATGTGATATTTAGGTCCAGAGTGATTTTCTGCCTTTTCTTTCAACTCAAGATGCTTCTATTTCTTTAAAACACTAATCCCTGTCTCAAAGCAGCTCTAGATTTTTAGATAAGGCTTTCAAGCTGGCTGATTTTGTAAGGCTCTCTTACGTTCCGTTTTAACTTTAATGTTTAACATCTGCAAAGTGCTCTGAGATGTTTTCCGGAGGATGCAATACGTATCATTTGACTGATGGGTCAATCAATGAGTGGTCCTTCCCAGTGTTCCTCAAAATACTTCAAGTGAGCTTACAAATGCATCTTGTATCTTGTGTCCAAATTCTTCATTACCTCAAGAAACCCTCAAACTTCAAAATCAGACTTGAGACCACTTTTAAAGAAACATGAACTTTTTATCGTCAGCAATGCATATATAATGCCATATAGACCCTGTTTTTATGACATCCATAATATGATGCACTAATTATTGAGTGCTAATTTTTTAAATTGTAGGAATAAAGTAATCTTGGTTCATTAGAAGCAACTTGGTAAGAATGTACTATTTCAATTTAAATATAAAATTCCTATGAAATACCAACTGTTTGGTAAAAATGCTACCCTGTTAATACTTAACTGTCCAAAATAATGAAACAGAATCATAGCACAGATGATTTAAAACAGCAGAAAATACAAAAAGTTTTTGTTTGATATTATATTGCATTTTGCACGGAATGAACCTAGTGAGAGGTATTTTACTAGTCACAATTTTTTTGTTGTTATTAAAATTACCTTCTTCTGGAATTTGAGAGGCAGGGCGGGGTGGGGGGAGGGTCGTGGGGGAAGGGAGGGAAAAAATGAAAGAAGATGGGACCCCGGAGGGAGACAAACCATAAGAGACTCAATCTCAGGAAACAAACTGAAGGTTGCTGGAGGGGAGGGGTCTGTGAGGGATAGGGTGTCTGGGTGATGGACATTGGGGAGGATATGTGCACTGGTGAGTGCTGTGAATCGTGTAAGACTAATGATTCACAGACCTGTATCCCTGAAGCAAATAATACATTATATGTTAATTTAAAAAAAATGCCTTCCTCTGCATGAGCAGTTAGAGGCAGAGGAAGGAAGAGGAGAAATGCATGTGAAAGATGTGCCCTGTGACTCAAACACAAGGCGAAACACAAATCACTGGAAGTTGACCGAATTTATCCATTGTTCTAAGAGTCATAAATCATGTGGACTCTGAAATGTTATCTAAAACTTGCAAACTGAATTTACAGTGAAAAATATGAGTAGGGCAATATAAAACTCAATTGGAATTCTTAGAATTATCAGGATTCTGAGGCAAAATTACAGGGGTCTCTTATAAACAACTTTTCAGTGCACAAAATTTCGAAGAAGCGATCGAATTAAACTGACCTTTGAAATAAAGAGCAAAATAAGGACCACAGATTGAAAAGAACTAATCGATGCTTACCATTAAACTTTTAAATTTTCTATTTTCTGCAATGTGAAAAAAGCCATCTCTTGTTAAAATCTTGATGTGCTTGGCTTCATTATTGTACCTGTGGGCAATGAATAACGTATGAATATAAATGTGTTTTTAATCAGTAGAAATCGATAATTACCAGAGGGCATGTCCCAATAAAATTATAGGAATTAATTCTGAAGACAAAATATATACCTATGCCAATACACTGGTGACAGCTAATTAACAAAATATATTTACTAGATTGGTTGAAGATACAACTAATATTTGAAGTGAGAAGAGTTTTTTCTTTTTTTTTTTTTTTTTACTAGATTGGTCAACTACTCAACAGAGTGACCAATTACTTTGCCCAATTTACTGAGCAAGTTCAGTTTGAGAATATAGAAAAACAAAATCAAATAAGACAAAATCTAGTAACATATATTTTTAGACTTAACGAGAAACACACACATCAAATCACCAAAATATAATGTTATGAAAGAAATCTAATATGCCAATTAGCGGCCTATAACACTTAATACTGTTTTTCTAACAGATATTTTCAAGTATTAATGAACTGTCTGGATAGATGCATTATTTCTGCTGCAATTAGAACCTTGGTTTTTAACATCAGTGTTATATGTGTCAGATGGTCTATGCAATTATGAAAACAGGAAATCTATTTCTGTAAAAGTACTTGTCCTACTTACTTAATGCTAATTGCATATTCTCCTGACTCTTTGGTCCTGTGCCTCACAAGGTAAGTACTATTTACCCTATTAATAAGTTCAGTTTCTGCCTGCAATCTTTCCATTGCTCCAGCATACCTGAAAGAAAGAATGACACAGAAAGTCTGGGTAATATACCTGGAACAGAACCGAAGCTGAAAGTAAGTATCTGTCAAGATTTTAACTTAGTGGCAGATCGGAGCTGTTTTTACTTTGATACTAACTAATTACATTACTTCAAAAAATAAGGCAAAAAAATGTCCTTTAAAAAGTGAAAAGCAAAGGCTCTACAAAGCTAGCATGGTGAAGTGAACAGCACCTAATGCATAAAAAGCACCCAGTCAATATTTATCAAATAAATAAACGAGACAAAGAGAGGAGTGAGTAGGTATGAGTTAGAGAGAGACTTACAGGGATTTTGAGAACAAGAAGGAAAAAGACTTGTAAAGGAGGGACTATCATGTATAGGACATTTGCATAGAAAAGGTGAAATTTTAGAGGGGAGGGTGTAGGGGGTTTAGGTGAGCCTAGTGGTGAATATTAAGGAGGGCACATATTGCATGGAGCACTGGGTGTGGTGCATAAACAATGAATCTTGGAACACTGGAATAAAATTAAATTTTAAAAAAATTAGCCAAATTTAAAAATAAAAGGTAGATATTTTCAACAATAGAATTCTTCCTAAACTATCTTCACCTTAAACATACCCAAATTCCATAACATTAACAGTAATAATCAATGGCCCAAATCCAATGTTAAGATACTCTATAGTGACCCTTTCACATCAAATACGTGTTTTACATTTAATGGCAAAATATAGCAGAGATTTTGGGCAATGAAAGTTAAAGGGGAAAATTTCACATCTCAAAACTCATGAATTAGTACTTCAAAACTTCACGAATTAGTATTCCAGAAAATTCTCTGATTCACACATAGACTAGGGTAAGTCAGTTTAAATACCCACCTTTAATTTATACCAAATGCTTATTTAAGATATAAAAGTTTGTTGAAGGAGGACATGTGAGATTTCTAGCAAGTATAGAAGGAGAGGCAAGGGCATTTTATGCAGATGGTATCTTGGGATAAAAGCATTTATGATAACCTATGAACTATTAGTACCTGGGATGTTCTGATCACTCTTCCATCTTATCTCTCACTAGTCTCCAACATTCTTTCAGGTTCAGGAATTCACCAGCCTCTTTTTGGTCTTAAGAGTCTTCCCACAGACTGTTACTGCCTGTACAACACTCACCCAATCCACATACATTCCTTCTCATCACTCAAGCTTAGAGTGACCTTCTCTGACCATCTCATCTGAAGAATGTTGTCCTGCATCTTACACTTCACTCCATTATTCTTATTACACTATTGTAATCTCTCCATGGCACTTGCTGCAATTAGTATATAGTATATCCATTTTTGTCAAAGTAACACATGAACATAGCTTTTAAAAGTCAACTTGTGCTATAATAATAATGAAAAAGTAGCATTACCCCATCTAATTAGTTTTCTATCCCAAGTTCCATTTCAAGCATTTTATCTATTTTTTTTAATCTGTGCTTGCATATTTCTAAATAATCAAACTACAATTTATTAATTTATTAATTTTAGGTGTCAGGAAGGAAAATCATTTTCTTCTCCATTCGTGCTCATTCCTTAACGGTGCTTCTCCTCATTCTTGTTTCCGTAACCTCTACAAAGCCAAGCCATCATCTGGCCCAGTTTTTCACGTTTTCATAGTCAAAGAACATCCGACATCCAAAAAACAATTCCTCAAGTTTTTGTTCGCTAAACCTTGTCTTGCAAATTCTCTCCAGATTCTCCAAGAGAATGATAAACCCCTGAGTAATACACTTCTCAACACCATGTACTGAACCTGTCCATTTTTTTTCTACGGAGACATTCATTTCTTCCAGACCCTCTTGGTCTAGTTACTACTACTTGCTCTCTAAGCTGAATTTTTATAGTCTTGGGACCTCCCATTGGTTTCATTCCCTGGATTCTCTATCTCCCTCTTTATTGGTTTATTAGCTCATCCTTCAGCTTCCTATAAGTGGATACATGGGTTGTAATACTCAGAAAGCCTCCCATCCAGAAAAACATTTTTAGTTTACTTGATATTTAATTGAGAATTTGTCTGAGTATACAATTCTAGGTGAGAAATTACTTTCCTTCTCAGATTTTGAGACATTGTCCTATTGTCTTCTCACTGGCAATTGAGTGTCATTCTGATTCTTTGTATGTGATCTGATTTCTTTTTCCTCCCTGGAAGCTTTCAGACTCTGTTTGCTCTATATTGTAAAATTTCATGATAACGTGCCTTCTACTTAAATGCCATACGTTTTACTTCAATACTGTCCTGGGTTTTCAGTGGCATCTTTGATTTCGAGCCATATATCCTTCAGTTCTGGGAAAATTTTGTTTTGTTTGTTTTTTTTTTTGACAATTGCTGCTCTGTTTTCTCTTTCTTGAGTTCCCACTAAACAAAGGCTGTGCCTCCTGGATCAACTGTCTAATTTTCCTATCTTTTCTTCCATATTATCAAATTATTTCTCTGATTTTCTGGAGGATTTACTCAACTTTATTTTCCAACTCTACTACTTAATATGTAATTTAGAATAACTCTTTCTTGTTCTCTGATTTTCCTTTTATAAAACATCCAGATCACTTCCATAGGTACTGTCCTCTCTTAATTCTGAGAATATAAATTAAAGGCTTAAAAAGTAAATCTTTCTTCTGCTCATTCTAATGTCTGCCTTTTCCTTGTTTCTTTTCCCCATTTATTCGATTTGCTCTCTAGTTCAAGGCTTTTCTCAAATGCCTACTCTTTGTGGCCTGTTTATACTTGGGAGAGAGGCATCTCAGTGGGGGTGGGGAAGCACCGAAGCAGACTCGCTGGGTAGGAACATAATCATTTGGCAAGAATGTGATTCATGGGGCTGGATAATACCCAAATGATTTTCAGATTTTTTTTTTTTTTTTTTTTAACCGAGTCTATTCAGTTCTTTTAGAGAAAAATCTTCCAGATTCCTGTCTGGATGCAATGAGAGGATAGTCTGTATTAGACCCAGCTGTCACAGTATTGGAACTGAGATATATAAAGGACCTGGGGATAGTCCTCAGTCAGTGTGCAGACTTTCCTTAATTTGACTACTCCACAGCATAGCATCTCCCTCAATCTCTGCTGGCATTGCTTTCTAAGTGTAAGCCCTACATGGCTCAGTTTTTCCCACATAATAAACCTTCTAATTCCACTGTCTCCTGCTTATGGTAGGGGAAAAGTAAGTTGTCTGACTATTTGGAGAATGGGGTAGGAATCTTGGCATCTGCATCCTGTTCTTCATATGGATTTTCAGATAGTTCCCCAGTTTTAAGCCCCATGTCTCATCCCTGCCTGCAGCATGTGTACCCCCCCACCCCGCCCGCCAACACACACACACAATCAGACTACTACAAAGAATCAGAAATCAGAATGGTCTCTTCCCACCATCTTGGAACTGTGGAGGTCTGCTGGGAAAAGGACTCCTAAATCAACAAATATGACTGGAAGGCTGTGGTCCAAGACTGTTTTTGCTGTCTAGAAAGCGGGGCCTCCAGAACCTGAGGAAGCACACAGTTCTTCTTAAAATTGAAGGTGTTTATGCTCAAGATGAAAGTGAATTCTAGGCAGAGATGTGCTTATGTGTACAAAACAAAGAGCAATACAATGACTCTTGGTGGCAAATGGAACAAAACCAGAGTAATCTGGGGAAAAGTAACTCAGGCTCATGGAAACAGTGACATGGTTCATGCCAAATCCCAAAGCAACCTTCCTACTAAAGGCATTGGCCACAGAATCCATTTGATGCTGTACCCCTAAAGGATTTAGATTTACTGAAAAGTAAATAAATAAAGCTGCAGATTTATTCTCTTGGAAAGGAAGGGAGGGAGAGAGGGAAGGAGGGGGAGAGAGAGAGAAAGAAAGGAAATAAATCAGAATGGCATTGAATTGGAAGTTAGAAGACAATAGAGCAATGTCTGAAAATCTGAGATGCAAAATAGTTTCTCACCTAGAATTCCATACCCAGGCAAATGAAAATAATCACCTTGATTCTACCCAAGAGACAAAGTTCACCTTGTGAGAGTAACTTGTTTTTAAATGGAGATGTAATGAATAGACAATGCAGTTGGTGGATATCCAACTTCTTGATGACTTGAGAACCACATGTCATCATTCAGCATCATTTTCTCTAAACAGTGTAGTATTTCCAAAATTGGAAGTTTCCATTTCTGATATTCTTGACCATTTTGTCCCCCAGCAGAAAGCATTTCCCATGAAACTGTCTGTTTATTGTGAATAAACTAAGTTGCTCAAGAGAAAGAAAAAAAGCAATTTAAAAATTTTACTATGAAATATCTTTATTTGTTCCTGTCTTCAAGGCTCTTCCCTTATCTGAACACTTTGATTTTTATCATCATTAGGAACAATACTATTCTAAGTCATATTTTCAATAGAATTTTACATATCTACAAGGGTGCATTTTAAAACAAAGTGTTCAAAAACTAATCTCCTGTACCTGGGAACCATTCAAGGCACAGGAGATTAGTTTTTTCAGTTTATTTTTTCTTTTTCAGTTTATTTCTTTTTCTTCTTTCTTCTTCTTTTTATTTCTTTTTTTCTATTTTCTTTTCAGTTTATTTCATGAAATCCATGTAGTTGTGGCATTAGTATTTATCTTTAAAATCATTACCTTCATAACTACTATGCTAGTTATGTGCAAAATAATAAAAGAAAAGAGAAGGAAGCCGATCACCACACTCTCATGATTTTATCAGCTTCTGGTGGTGTTCCCTTTGATTATCCTTGCTACCAGCTCTATTCTCCAAATTTAATTCCTGTCAAGATCATGGTTTTTAATTCCATGTGGTTCTAACCTCAAATTTATCTTTAACTAAGTAAAAATGTAGCAAAGCTTCCCAGTTCTATCAAAGCCTGCTATAATTTCTTCAGCAAGCTCAGGGAGGTCAGAGAAAGCCGGTAATAGCTACAGAGGGCAGACACAATGGTTGGGGAGAGCAAGGGGGCTGATGGGAAGAATTCCATACTTCGGAGAGTGTAGTCCTATAACAACTGGGCATTTTCTATGCTTTGGTTATAGAATAGAAAATAATCAGAATGCTTTTTGTTTTAAATTTTTAAAAGATTTTGTCAGAGAGAGAGAGAAAGAATGCACATGAAGGGGTGTGGCAGGCAGAGATAGAGGGAGAAGCAGATGCCCTGCTGAACAAGGAGCCCATGTGAGGCTTAATCCCGGGACCCTGGGATCATGACCTGAGCTGAAGGCAGGTGCTTAACTGATGGAGCCACCTGGACACCCCAAGAACACTTTAAAAATACAAGACATTTCAGGTGTTCAATCTACACCTGCAAACTAAACTAGTACTATAAACTCTCAGAATATCTCATTTATATACATATACTGATATCTAATTTGTATGCCTATACTTCATATCTAGAAAATAAAAGAGATGCAGTCCTTTTAAGAGGAGCCAAACATAAAACTCAAGGAAACAATCATAAATAAGTTTCGTACTTAAAGAGGCAATATGGCAATATACAGATGGCATAACTTGGAATCCCAGCTCTAGTGCTCACTACTTGCATGGCCTTAACCTTAGTTTCCTCATCTGTAAAGATAATAACAGCCTTCCTCATAGAGATGTTGGAACACAAAACGAAATAAAACATAAAATACTAAGCACATAGTAAGTACTTGGTATATATTAGTCATTACCATCTATGATCACCACTATTCTGGATCCTAAACAGACTTTTTCCAGTTGAAGATATCGCCTCCCCTTAAACTCATCATGTCTAAAAAGTAATAATCACATCCCCTTTGCTTCCTTATTTCTATAGTGATAATGTTAGTCTCTAAGTGATAAGTGGGCTCCATGTAGACCCAGAACGTGAGACATGGATACATCTTGCTCCTTTCACTTTACAATTTACGATCTACTATCCTTTCTGGACTAATTTTTAGTTTCAGACAATGGAATCATATATTTTTTTCTCTGTTTCATGAAATCTACTCTTCGAAAATATAAGATACATATTTGCCTATGACTCACTCCTTTCTGTGAATGTTACAACTTTGAACTTAGTCAGGTGTGTGCATGCATACACACACACACACACACACACACACACACACCACTCTGATGAAGTTATGGAAAGGTCAGCGATATATAAATTCATTATCGTGTTTTGTTGTATCTGAAAACACCTTTAGCCAGGACAAATAGAAATGGAAGGTGGTTTACTACCTCCATATTTAAGGCATCCTCGAGCTAAGGTTATGGTATTTCAACTTAGCTGCATAAACATTTTTAATACTTACCAGGGTTGGCAAGAATAATCTACAGGTTTGGGCACCTAGGATATAAAAAGCCAAAAAAATAGATTAAGTTTACTTAAGGGAAGCTTTTAGGAATCAATCATTAATTCAGTTGTGCTGACTCAGCTCTATAAAACCCTAAATAGCACAGTCCTGGAACTATCCATTCGCAGTTCTATACAGAGTGAATCATAGTATATGTCAGATAAGTAGAAAATAATTCATTTCACTTTAATTCATTCTTTCATTCATTTTACCACCACTGTACCTCCAAGAGGAGAGATAACAGGAAAAATATGAACTGGAAGCTTTTGGTATTTGTTTTCAAGGCAGTTTAATCCTACCACAAAAAAATTAAAATGAAAATGTTAAGAAACCCAAATAGCACTCTGCTTTCCCAGAAAACAGGCAAAGTAAAAATACTGGATGTACACTCTTATTTTGTATCACAAATTCTAACCTCTGATTTTGAAGTCTACCAACTGGTAAACCTTTTATTGATGAAAAATCATGGGAAATAATCATTTTTCCCTTTTCTCCTATGGAGCTTTGCAAAAGAGAACAATGTTACATTTGCTGTGCAAACAAAGAAAAAGAAAAAAAAAAAAACTTCTAGTTGCTGATTATAACTAGAAAATGAACAAAGCCAAAGAAGGTACACCAATATTCCAAGAATAACAAAATACATACTATTAGAGGAGAACAAAGTTTATAGATTCTTTTTTTTTTTTTTTAAGATTATTTACTTATTTATTTGACAGAGAGAGAGATCACAAAGCAGGCAGAGAGGCAGGCAGAGAGAGAGGAGGAAGCAGGCTCCCTGCTGAGCAGAGAGCCCGATGTGGGGCTCGATCCCAGGACCCTGAGATCATGACCCGAGCCGAAGGCAGCGGCTTAACCCACTGAGCCACCCAGGTGCCCCAAAGTTTATAGATTCTTAAGGAAAGACAAGGAGTATGAATAGTTTGTTTTGTATTAAGAAATTTTCCATGAATCTCTGTTACCTTTAATTTTTAACAGAGTTCTGATCAATGTAAATACATCTCTTAGCTATGTCAGTTTTCATAATGGGCTGTTAGTATTTTGACCTTCCAGATTAATAGTTATATATAATAAAATTATCTTTCTGGTCAGAGCATCTCCAAAGTTATTAGTATTTAAATATTTTTATCTTATGGATCACATTTTTAATTTTACCACCATGTAAAATCCTAATACACAGAAAATAATTTTTAGGCTATATTACACCCATTCAAATCCTACACATATTTTCTTATACCATTTTGTTTTCACAAATAGGAATCAATTGTCAATAACTTCTCTTTAGAAGATATACATAGGTTCGGAAATCTAATGGAAAAGTATTTCCTCCTTCCTTCTCCTACTTTGTATTCTTTAAATGCATACTCATTCCTAAATCAATCCTTCTCCCTAGAGAGCTGAAACAAAAAAGCAAACACAACACAACAAAACAAAACCAATAACACAAAGAGGGGACAGAGAAGGGAAAAGAACTTCAACATATTCTATGTTGAAAGCTGAAAGATCCACAAAAATGAAGGGCGATAGAACATTCTAGAGCAGAACCAATATCCCAGGCTATTTCAGTCTGATGTCCTTTCAGAGCTTTCTCACTCTTTGGTGAATATATTCTGATAGGTGAAGTGCCAGGACCATCTTCTCAACACTGATCCCTATACTGAGGGTGGGATCCTATCCTTCTCCATCTGTCATGGGCCCTCCCCACTTCTTTTTTGGGGCTTTTCTTATATAAAACAATACAGACTTTTCTTCTGGATACTTTCCTATCTTTGACTGTGTTCTCATCTTTGATCATTTCTCCCTAATGCCTTTTTCCTACCTTCATCACAGGCTGTTTACATTGTTAAACTCTGGCTGTAGTCACACAGTTTTAAAAAATATTTTACTGGATATAGAGCATGCATGTAAAATAATATATATAAGATATGTGCTTCTCCCTGAAGTACATCTTATATGAGTTAGAGCAGACAGTTAGAGGTAAGTTTTCTGTGTTTGTTTGGCTAGAAATGTCATTACTTCATCCCTACAGAGGAAAGATAAATTTCTAAGTTGACTAATTTCCTTCCAAAACTTTGAACATATCATTCTTATTGCCAGAAATATTAAAGTTTCACACTATAGAATCTCCATTTGGTTCTTTTTAATAGTTCCTATTTCTCTGTTGAGGTTTCCTGTGCATTCATTACGAACATACTTTCTTTTATGTCCTTAAGCATAGTTATAATAGCTACTTTAAAAAATCTTTCCCTGCTAATTACATCATTTGGGACATCTCAGGGTCATTCTCCTTTGATTGCTTTTTCTTTTGAGTATAATCTGTGTTTTCCTCCTCCTTTACATATTGAGTAGTTTTGGGTAGTATCTTGGACAATTTGAATAATACGCTGTAGAAGCTCTGAATTCCATGATGCTTCTAGAAAGAGTACAATTTTTCTTAAAGTAGGCAGTTAACTTGGTTGAACTCCAACAGCAAACTACCTCTCCTGTGGTGAGAGGCAGATGAATTCTCAGTTTTGTTCTTTTAGCCTCAGCTGAGCCACTTTGGGAGTCTGCACCAGGCAGCCAAACTGAGGCAAAGTTTATACACAGAACTTGAGGTCCCTCCCCCTCTGACACTTTCTAAGATTTCAGGCTTCCCATTCCACTTCAAGCTTGAAGTTTCCTTCAAGCTCCACACTCTGCTTCTTCAAGCTAGGGATACTATGAGGTTTCTATCTGAATTTTAACTACCTGCATGGTGCAGCCCAGTGCCTGTTCTCAGCCAGCCCCAAAACCAAGAAGCTAACCTAGAGTCATCCTCTTTCACTGAGTGTCAACTCTTCCCTTAGTCAATGCCTTCAGACTGTTGATGCTTTACTATCTTGCCCAGAGTTTGTAGCTGTTTTCTGCAGGAGGTATGATCCAATAGGGGCTACTTGGCAACTACTAGAAGTGAAAACTTTTGTTGCCTCCATTATTGCTGCTGTTAGCTATGAGTCAAGTCATCAACTCTTTATAGGTAATCTGTATTCTCCTTAAGGTTGGTTTTAATATTTTCTCCTTGTTTTTGATGTTCTGCCATTGAAATGAACTAAAATGTATGTAGGTGTTGATTAATTTTATACACTTCTCTTGACTCTTGAGATTAGTTTTACCATAAGTTCTGGAAAATTCTCTGCCATTATTTATTTGAAAATTGCTTTTCCACACTATCTCTATTCTCTCCTTCAATAACACGCATTTGAACTTTATCACTTTATTTTCTTTCAGATTTCCACTTCTTAATTTCTCTGGACTACTCACTGAGAAGTTTCTTCAGATTTGTCTTCCAATTTTCTACCCAACTGTATCTAATATGTCATGTAATGTTTCCATTAAGGTTTTCATTTCATTTACTCTGCCTGATTCTTTGTGAAATACAACCAAGAAATTTGGAAAGTGGCTTGTTCTCTTCTTAGAGTTTTATTCTTTTTTATTTCTTCAACCATATTAAATACAAAAGTTGACCTTGGTACTTGATAATTATAATATTTGCTGTCTTTGTGTATCTAATTCTGAATTTTATTTTTTCTGCTGAACTTTGCTTAAGATGGTTTGTTTAATCATGAATGTGAAAATCCCATACTGTGATAAAAGTCCCTAGGACTTTATCTATAGAAATTCTTTAAGGACTGTGTGTAATGAGGCTCCAATCCAGAGACAATCTATATTTGTATTGGAAACACAATCAACACGGAATCATTTTAAACTGTTTCTAGCTTAGAATTATTGCACTCACAGAGCTGGTATCAATTTCAGCCCCACTCCTTGGTGGTTTCTGGATCTAAAGTTAGGAATTCTTAGGGGAGATTGCTCTCTTTTTTCTACTCAGATCCAAGATGAAGATAGACATATCTTCTGTGGAACTGCTTTCTTCCTGCTCACCCACCGAGGACTTCTGGAGTCACAAAGAGTTACCCAAGTTTGCACTGTGCTGTAGCTCCAGGCTTCATCTCCAGTCACCATATTGCCAGAAATGAAACTGTCTCATTTATATTCCTCCTGCATTCTCCTCAGTTCTAATTTTCTAACTGTATACTTCAGAACTTTTGTTAGACTGGTAAAACATATATTGGAGAATAACTTTTGAGTTCAGAATGGAATATTCCACACTACTCATGGGCCCTGATAGACAATATGTCCCAGGGTCAAAGAAGACACCATCTTCCAAACTCCTTCAACGTATCCTCCCTTCCTATCTCTCCACCTATTTATCTTCACTTAACTTATCCTAAACCAACAAATGAATCTATAATTTCATTAATTAAGCACTAAAATTTTAATAACTATTTGTTAACTTTACACTGTAAAACAATCATATTTAGTTAGTATTCCCACCCATAATTATGTATTCCTCTTTAAGTCCTTACCAGCTTAAAATTCTGAACATGGTTTTCCTTCTAGTAACTAAGTCACCAAATACCATTTGCTGTAAGCTGATTTAATTAGTATCTACTACTGTTAATTACCTAGGTTCAGCTAGGAAATTTTGCCTCCTTTTTCATACCTTTGTTCATTCATACAAACAATTGTATTAAATACCTGCCATGTGCCAGAATTTTCCTAAAATAAAACTTCAAATGTTCATTTTATGCCATATTCAAGAGAATGTAAAAAGATAACATAACTTGATATATGAAATGTTTAATGTTCTTGATTTGATGTCTTTTGGTTCCCAAACATCTTAATATTAGAATGTATAATCTCCTGCTTCCTGCCTACATATGAATATCATTGTTTTAAGCATAGGGAGCCTGGATCTTGTTCATACAAATTACAGAAAACTAACTAAAAAACTCATTTTGCTTACATAATTAAATAAGAGTGGTATCAAGGTTAAACAATTTTCTAAGATTATTAGATAAGAACATGTGACATTAGATCACAGAACCAATAGAATAGCAAATTCTTTTTGATTCCCTTTGCTTCTAAAATTAATGAAGCTGGAATGAGTATGGTAAATTAATTTACAGACTACATTCTGAAATCAAGGATGGCAGACATTTATGATATTGAAAAGGATGCCCAGTTTATAAATCTAAAGAAGAAGTAAAATACAGCCAGCAAGATAATTTAAGGAGTTTTGTGTTTTTTTTTTTAAACCATCAACTCTACTATATTAGTAAAGGAATTTCATTTACTTCAAATCAAGAACTTCAAAAGTTTCATAGAAAAATCTACCCTAAACATCAACTTACGATAAAATAATGTCACCTTAAACAGAAATTTATAAATCTAATAAAACATCAGAAAGTACATTTTATGTTATATTCATCCATAATGTCTGAGTGAATGTTCATTCTTTCTCCTTGTATCTATCTAATGTGTTTGATGTTTTCAAAAAATGTCATTATGACATTAAATAAATAGTAATGACAAACTAAAGCACAGAAAAATGTATTTCGAGATTTGGTTGAAGGATTTGTGGACTTCATGCTATTTCGCTTTCACACATTCCAGGGGAAGTATAATATCTCTCTATAGCCCCAAATGACTAGGAATAGATTAGAGCCTACCATTCTCACCTCCATGGGAAAAGGGGAAATTGCACCTAATCTGTAGCTTTGATTTATTCCTTCTAACATCTTGTAGACAATTTAATTTTGTAAATTCTACTAAGTTGAATTTTCTCCTTGCATGTATCAATTAAAAATATTTTCTGACAATGGAATCATGAAGATTTTAGAATTATAGTAACATTGACCATGTATTTCAACTTGAAATTATATGAACCCTCCAGAAAGCATTAATAAAGTTATTGAGTGATAGGACCATATCCTTTGTACATTCTTGCACAATTCATTACAGCATCAAAACCAGGAAAAAATGGAAAGAAAATACTCATACTTACACATGGGCAAGGCTTAACAGCATCACTTGGAAAAAATCCAACTTCTCCAGATGCTAAATTTCTACCCTAAATTAGGAAAAAAAAAATATCAGTTTTGAGAACCCATTTACCACAAATGATAATCTCATAATGCTTTGTACATAGTGTTGTTAATCAGGATCCTCAGAATTATTTACACGTTTTATCCATTCCTAAACATTAACTTACTATGGCTGAGGAAAGAAAGCAGAAGCAAAGAAGTTTTAAAATTATTAAACTTTACGTGTTGTTTCAGATGATAATTATAAAAGAATTCAAGTTTGACTTCCCAAACTACCATTCCATCTTGTTAACTTTATATCCCTCAATCAATCCAATATAGAGATAACAGTGTATTTAATCTTTCTATTTTATGTTCACTAATACAAGTAGATACATTGGTTTTGTGCAGGCTCACAATTAGAAATGTGATTTAAATGGTTACTATTGGCATCTTTAATAGAACTCATAAGAACATTCCTCCAACAAGACAGGTGACATTTCAAGACTTGTGGAAATGAAAAACAACACGATGATGTTTTAGATAGTTTTCAGATTTAGGAGAAATGATAGGGTGCTGATCAAGTAAAAACAGTTAAGATGTTGGAGGAAAGGATTGTAGGTTAAAATGACATTGTAAATGAGAAGAGAGGGAAGAAATTAGCAGACTTTTAGGAAAACCTAAACACCAAATGGACAAAAAAAAATAAGAGTTTATTCTTGGAGACCTTTGAACAAATTCTTATTAATAAAAAAAAAAATCTCATCAGGGAATGTAAATTGATACAGCCACTGCAGAAAACAGTATTGAGTTTCCTCAAAAGATTAAATAATACAAGTACCATATGATCCAGTTATTCCACTACTGGTATTCACGCAAAGAAAACAAAAACATGAATTCAAAATGATACAAGTGCCCCTATGTTTATTGCAGCACTATTTACAATATTTACAAAAATAAATATTATTATTTACAATAGCCAAGCTATGGAAGCAACCCAAGTGTCCACTGATAGATGACTGGATAAAGAAGATGTGGTGTATGCACTTTTGCAAAAAGACAAACTATACTCAAAACACACTACAGCAATTAGAACATGATATTAAAAAGTTCTTATGACTTCTTCTTGTCCAAAAATTGGGTTTATTTTTATTTGCTATTTAACCATTGCTTCCTGTCAGTAGCTAAGATGAGTAAATAGCATTATGACTGGATATTACATGCTCAATTATTTTTGACAAAGAAAAGTAACAAAAAAAAATGTTCAGCAAATGTTCCCCTCTTGAAACAGCATCCTTTTGTGCCCATGGAGCTTAGCTATGAGTTTGTGGAGAAAATTTTATAAAGTGGGAATCCAGAATTAAAGGATGAGGAGGAAAAAGAAAAGAAGGGGGAAAAAGGGGAAGAGGTGGAGAGGTATGGGAAAGAGAGAGGGGAGGTGTAACAGGAAAGGGGGAAGGGTTGGAGGAAGGTAAAAAGAACAGAAAAGGGAAGAGGAAAGGTGAGATTCAGACAGAGGGAAAGCAAATAGCCAATCAAGGACAAGATGTTCATTTGGGCAAGGTTCAAGAATTGTATCGCACTTGCGTATCAGGGAAAAAAGTAAATGAACAAGTAGAAGATTCATTCAATTATTCAACAAATACAGTATCTAGTATTAATTTGGTTAAACACTTAGGAAAATGCAAGAATTCATAAATCATTTCCTGTCTCCCCCTAATCTTCTCAGAATGAAGATACATACACACATAATTTTAATACATGGTGAAAAGAGCTAAATACTCTTGGGTGCAGAGGAGAGGCTATGGAAATTGGAAAGATATTTTCAGTATTAGGGGTTTGCTTGAAAGCTACATGGAAGAGAGGTGGGGCACGTGAATATAAAATGTGTGGGGTGTGAACATATAGAAATGGAAATGGAGGAGAACATTTTGAAAACAAAATAAAGCATGAGAAAGGGACAGGGGTATAAAAATACAGGTTGTGCATAGGAAACACAAGTAGAGTCTAACAACGGCTTATACTTAGTGCATCCTTACTGTATACGCCACTCTGAGCATTTCATAATCTTTACAGTGATCCTTTGTGGTAGGCCCAATTACTATCCCCATTTTATAAGTGAGGAAAATGAGGCATAGAGAAGTTAAATGATCACCCCATGATCACAGAGTCAGCAAGTGACATAACCAGAATTCAAATTCAGATGTTCTAACTTCAGAGCTTGGTACTGCCTCTCTGCACAAGCATTAGACTCATAAAGGAGGATGGAGGGACATGGAGCTAAAAGGTGGCAGGGAACCAGTGTGACTGAGACATTTGAATTTATCAGTGGTGAGGGGGTTTCAGTGATGCAGTTATGTGCTTTAGAAGAAGTAAACTGACATCAGTGTGCAAGCTGGCTTGTAGATGGGCATGGTGTGGTAGGTGAGAGTATCATTAGAGAACTATATCACAGTAAGGGAGGAGGGGAAACTGGTACTAAAGATATTGTGGCACTAGAGTCTACAGGGCTTGCCTGGGGAGTGGGTGAAGAGGAGACCACGGGAGTTAAAGACTTGAGTCAAACTGCCAAGGATGGAGGTGATTACATAAGCCACCTAAACAGATAACCTGGTTGTAGATGACAATTATACAGAGGGGAACTTTAAAGTCAATGGGGCAAGACAATCATGGAAGAAAATGTATACAGAAGAAGATAAAAGAGCTTATAGGAATGAATCTAACTAGGAGGCAGGAAGGATGTGACAGAGGGAGGAGAGTCACAGATTGGAGGGTGATGAGAACACAGTAGCTATAAGGCTGGAATGAAGTGTTCGTCTCTTCAACTGCATTCTCGGAGTGCCTTACTTATTTTAAGCATGATCTTGAGGTACAAGAAAATAACCAGGATATTTGGGGACTGCATGGCTACCCAGACCTTTTTACATGACTGCACTGCACTGCTACTTGAGTACAAGATGTACGGGTATGTGGGGAGAGCCCTACACCAAAGAAGCCTCAGAAGAGGAAAAGACAAGGGTGACTGTTTTTAAAAAGTAAAATCAGACCTCTGAGAGCACACTAAAGGAAACAAATCTGTTTTGCAGGGGAGAGGCCAGAGACAGAGCTCTATGATAGTCCTTCAAAACTAGAGCTGAAGAGAAATCAGCAAGCTGGAAGATTATAGCTATAAGAATGGTGAACTGTCAATTCACATTAGTCAGAAAAAGAGCACATGGTCTTCATCTACGGAAAGCAGTGTTCAAGAGAAGCTGTGATATCTCATCACAGGCATGGTGACCAGCACCTAGAACCAAACCGACACAGGGCCCTTCATACAGATTGATCCTTCCACTTATTCCTCCCCCAAAGCTTGGCTCACACATTCCTACTCTGTCATCTCTTCTATAAAAGCATCTTCACTCTGCAGGCGCAATTTAATCTCACCCTGTCCTCTTCTGACACCTTTCCAGATTGTTTGTAGTACACTGTAACGTGGAGGTCGTTATTGGTCTACATGGTCTTTTCCTTTACTGGACTGAATTCTCTGAATCCAGAACAATGTCAGTTTTTACAAGAGAATGCAAATACAGAGTGACTATTTCATAAATGTTTGCAATTTGAGGTATTTCTCAACCTGAGAGTCCCATGTTAGTGAGTAGCATGACCTTAAGTTCCTCTTAACTGAAAAGAAGAAAATATACCACACTTTGTTTTCACACAGCCAAGCACTGAGAAACATTAAATGTTTCTACATATGAAAATATTCTTATAGTGGCACTGCTTGACCTATCTCTGACGTTTTATAGAAGCAAGCAGCATGTTGAAGAAGGCAATGCATAAAACAGAGAGAAAGGAGGTGAGAACACAAATGTAAGACTAGGACACACATTAATAAATTTTTCAACTTCTGAAGGTGTATAGACAGGCTCAGTTTTTTTTGTTTTTTGTTTTTTTTTTTTTTTTTTTGGTCATTCTTCCTTTATAGAACCAAGATTCCACCTGAAAGGCATGAATGGGAACTGTCCTTGACATTAGAAGAAGGGTCATGGTCATGTAAGAAATGTCCTAAAACTAGGGTAAACATGCAATTTTCTGTCCAAACCAGGATCTTTTGAGAGGAAAGGGTAATGATTAATAACTATGCCAGAACAAAAGGGTTAAATTGGGACAGTTACGGGTAAACCAGGACATACAGTTAACTGTATCAAAAACCATTTTGTTCTTTTTCCCTACTTTTCAAGAACACTACTGGTTTTCTCAGGGAGGGAAATTTTCTCTCAACAGAGTACCAAGGTCATTCTGAATTGTTTTTTCCTCAATGAAATGCCTTAGCAGTGCAGGTTACATTTCTTTAATGGTCTTAGATATCCCTTGGATAACAAAGAGGTGAGAGATAATTTAACATATCTTAACAGATGAATAAAGCTGCATTTCCTCACTCATTCCTAGGAGATGTCAGTTCTAACTATGGGAGAGAATACGTGCTATATTCAATGATTTTCCACTTATTAAGGTAATAAGCATCCGACAACATTTGGAAGATTAAAAAACAAAGTAATGTGTAGGAGGAGTGTCTTTGCTTCCCCGGTGGATGTGTGTGGGATGTACATTGATAATTCATTAATGCTAATGGGTGGAGCAGCTGTCAGTCCCCTACGCTGCGTGGATGGAACAGCAGACTGTAGCTACGGAATAAGCCATTTGCAAAGCCAGTGATTTTGTGCACTTTGTGTGATGATCTATCTATGAAATTTTTACTAACTTTGAGAAAGGCATGCAGCTGAATTTTCTTCCTCTTTGCATTCCTGGGTGGGCAGTGTATTATGGGTCAAATAATCAATGTGTCGTTCCTTTTATGTCCCTTACAAACGCCAGAGATAAAAAATCTTATTTTCTAGTTAGCCCCCTGCCTAATATTGGTTCTTGAGAGTCCCTTAACGTTTTCGAGGTCAATTTGAAAACATTCCTTTTTCAGAGTTACATGTCATCTGGTGTACCATAGAGTTCTATCTTTATATGCATTTATTCTGCAGAGCATTCTCTCTATTATGCGAGGAGACTTTTG